AATTTATTACTAGCTGGACATCTTGATGTAGATATCTGAAACTCAGTGTCTCTAAAACAGTGTATGTGTCTACCCCAAAGTAACGACTGTTCTGTATTCTTTATTGTATAAGTATCATAGCCAGCTCCTCAGGTGGCTCCAATGATTCTCACCTGATATTTATTGCCTTTTACCTACAAATTGTGCCTAATGAACTAGGTGATCTGCAAAGATTTCCAGGTGAAATGTCAAAGTGCTGCCTGGCTTCCTCCTGCTGATTGCGGTAAAATGAGAGAGAGAAGGTTGGAATGATAAACAGGAGGGACATGGGAATTGCTGGTTTGAAAAATCATCAGACTCCTTGGTCAGGTGATGAAATAGCCTTCTGGCAAAGATCAAATTCAGAGCACTGGCAGGAAAACAAGGTCTAATGATGAAGCTGAGGGTGTGGCTGTACAATTCTTCTAAGATCTTAGAAAGATCCAAAGTGGTGCCTTGGAAATCTGTCTAGACCAGCAATAGAGCTTCTAAGAAGCTTAAGGTCCTGGCCAGTTTGGCTCAGCGGTAGAGCATTGGCCTGCGGTCCAGAGAGACCTGGTTTCGGTTCCCACTAAGGGCACGTACCTCGGTTGCAGTTTGTCCCCGGCCCTGGTTGAGTCGTGTGGGTGGCAACCACCCGATGTGTCCCTTTCACGTCGATGTTTCTCTCTCTCTCTCTCTCTCTTCACACTCTATCTGAACAAAGAATGGAGAAATGTCTTCGGGTGAGGATAAAAAAAAAAAAATAGCTTAGAAGCTTAAGGGTGGTGTCCCGCACTCATCTCTGCAGACCAAGGCAGAGAAGGGCTTCTCTTGTAGGGATTTGTGGATGTGGCTTTTCCTTGGCTAGTGGAATGAAGTCCAATAAGATTCATAGAAGACTTAGGGTATTTTTTGAGCAAATTGTATTTGCAGAAACACTGTAAACTTAATCCGAAAGCGTTTTCTTAGACTAAGAGGCCTTTAGTTCCCCAAATTTTAACGGGGAGAAAGTGGACTGAGAGAGCTAACACTGCTGCAGACAGAGACTACTTTTCAAAGACATGGAAACATGACATTTAAGGTGAACCAAAAGTTCAGAGGATAAAGCGAACATGCATGAGGAAGTATTTCCTGGCCTGGGATCCTAAGGAATGACCCACTAGTCCGTGCTTTGCAGGATTTCAGAATTTCTGTGGCATTCATTCCTCAACACTTGGAACTGGAGTGTCTCCAGTGGTCCCCCTACACCTGTCCCACTATTATATGTTGGGTGTGGGGTGGAGGTGGGGGCAGGTAACTTGTTATTTTAGCTCAGTGGCATTCAGGTTGAGAGGAAATGTGCTCAAGGCTGTACTTAAGGACCTGTACCCGAGGCACCTCATGCACACTTGGATCAGACCTAGATGATGAGATTGCAGATTGTGAGCTCACCTAAAGGAATGAGGATTTTCTGTGCCTTGAGAAGGATTAGTGCACTTTTGCATGTGGGCGGGACATGCATCATTGGGGCCAGAAAGTGAACTGTGGTCCCCAGTCCCCAGGATGGTCCCTACCTCCTGCTATTTATGTTCCTTTGCAGTCCTGCCTGCACGGAATGGTCTGACTATGTAACCAGCAGGATGTGAGGAAATGGTGGAGTGTAACTTGAAAAGCTAGGTGATGAGACATTGCGGCTTCCATCTTTCTTTCTCTTGGACCATTGGCTCTATCCAGCAACCTTATGGAAATGTCAGCTTCATAAAGAACTGAGGCTTCCTAACAACACCCAGTCTCGATTTGCCAGCCATGTGAGTGAGCCACCTTAGAAGCCGCTCTTCAAGTCTCTGGAAAAGCTTCAGATGACTACAGCCCGTCCCGACATCTCATCTACCACCCAAGAGACCCGTAAGCCACAGCGATCAAGTTTAGGCCACACCCAAATTCCTGACCTTCAGACACTGTGTGAAATCATACAGTGATTTTAAGCTGCTGCGTTTGGGACAATGTGCTACGCATCAGTAGATAATTTGTAGAGGTACTACAGCAGACTAACACGACTCCGGGAATCTTTGTAAATTTTTGTGGCTTCCTCATCTTGTCTCAGTTTTTATAGCAAGTACTGTCCCTGACTCATTGATCTCTCTAACTTACCCTTGCCCTCTCCGGCCCACACCAGTTGATGGCTGCCCTCATAATTGATTCAAGGCCAAAGGGTGGAGAAAAGATCGGAAAGAATGTGAAAATCTTTCGCCATCCCGCTTATTCTGTTTCTATAGTGTTGGTTTTTATTCAGAGTCATAGAAAAACTTAGACCTCCGAGGAACTATTTCAGATCTTCAGGGATCATCTTTTTGGGGGGTTTATTTTTGAGAAGCCACTTTTGGTCCTCAAGGTGTAGGAATGACAGATGTTTAGAGCAGGCTTTTGCCATGAAGTATTTTATGTAAGCTGGGCGGTGAAATATTTGTGTGAAGGGCTGGGCTAGGAGGGGCTGGGCCTCGCTGCCCTTGCAGACACAAGCTTGTGCCCTGTAATGGCTCACAGATCCACGCAGTAATCACAGAGAAGGAACATGGGGCCAGAAGGTTAATATTTCCAAAGCCACATAGTTGGTTAGTGGCAGAGCTAACTGGGACTCCGGGCTACTTGTCCGATGAGATAAGATTTGTTTCAAGTTTGTCTTTGTTTTTATGGTTATTTATCTTTGCGAGTGTCAAGTGAAAAGGATTCCATTAAATGAGGACTAAAGGTTTCCCTTTTAATTTGTTGAGCTGGGTGTGGTTTCTTGGCGTTTCATCAGATGTGAACATTTTATAATTTTGTATCTCTTCTTACACAACTCTGAAATCACATAAAATAAATGACCAATGGGCTTAAGTCTAGTAGCATTTAGGTTACAATTCTGACTCTAGTACAACCCGTTCCTGCTGCTTAAGCCATGGGTGACTTTGTGTATGAGGTTTGTCTGTTTTCAACTTGAGCATTGTTAAACTATATAAAAGATTCTGCTTTTTAATATAAAGGCTTTATTTAAAATTAGACTTTATTTCTATTAGTTGTGCTTTTCCTTGGTCTCCAATGAAGTTTAGTCACCTTGTATTTTAAGTGGTTTCTTTCTAACCCCTTTGGATGGGTTTTGAGGCATGTGTGGCTTTATCTGGCCTTATCAACCCGTACATATTTGTCAACTGAGTGAATGCCATTATGCTTTTATAAAATATGTGAAGAATTATTTTGGCTGTCAGGTCAATAGATTTACTTTTAGGTTAACTGTGTTTCATAACATTTTAAACGTTCAGAAAAAAATTAAAATTTGTGGGAAGGCTTCTTATGGATTATTTTTCCTTGTTGGATATGAGATTTGCATCCTATAAGATTTGGGGTCCTGCTATACCAAACCATTTACTCTCCTCTGCTTGTCTGAGGGCCAGTGGTAGAACCATTGATTTGAGTCCTTTGGTAATTACAAACCGTAGGTTTTAGAAGTTATGTGAGCCTACCAACAAAATGATCACTTTTGCTCCCCTTGGAAATTTGCCAAACACTATTTCCCTTTTTTCCACAGAGGGTCAGATAAAACGCCTTTCATTGAGCTGTTCTAACTTTTGACGTATACGTTCCTTTCACCTTTGACCTCTTATTTACAATGAATCATGGACTTGAGCTTCCAGCAAGGTAGTTCCCACTGCCTTTCACTGATAGCACATGAGAGTCTCTTCCTACCTCTGCAAAGCGTTTCTCCTTCAATGCCCCCGAGTTTCCCAGAGACCAGCTTTGCTTTTCTCTTGCTCTACATTTTCTTGCCCTTTCCCTAAATCCCCTCGCTCTTGAAGACTCCAGACTATTAAATAGAGCCCCTTCACCTTTGCCTTTTTATCACATTCTCCCACGTGGCCACACCATCCTGCCCTTTCTCCCCTGGAGGACACACCCCTCAGCGTGGGAAAGGAGCAGGGGTCTGTCCTCAAGTGGGAAGTGGTCTTCTGGCCCCCACTTGTCTTGGCCGTTAGGCGAGGGGGTGAGGCTTCAGGGGTGCTCCGAGGCTCCCACCATAGACCAGGTGCTGCCAGCACGTACGTGGACAGACGTGTGTTGGCAAACCCTCCGAAAGCGAAAGTAAAGAGTCTGCACGGGCTCATCCCAGGCTCAGCCCTGGAAAGGGTTTCCTTCAGAGCAGTAAAGGTGGAGGGACGCCCAGGCTACTTCTGCTCACCAAATGTGTGTCTCCGAAAGGCAGCTGCCTGCCAAATAGAATATACTTGTCAGTGTCTGCAGCAGTTCACGTACACGAAAGGCAGTGGTTTGTGCACGGACGGTTTTGGTTTTGAAATTAGATATGAGGACAACCTAGATTTTTCTGTTGGAGGCAGTTCCCGAGGCAGGTTGCAGGGCGTTGAATAATGTACCACACCTAAACTATGTGATCGAGCCAATAAACACCAGGCTCCTCCTGGGTCCTACAGTATGGTTTCCCTGTCTGTCAAGAGCCGGCTCAGCAACCAAACCCAGATTCCAGGTGTGGTATTCCACAGTCTTTCTGTAATTTGTAATCATAGAAACAGAATGTTCCTCCTCTTATTTCCTCCCTGCCAACAGTTTCTGGGTGGGTGAATGTCAGTAGCTGGAGTTATTTTTAAAGAGAGGTGAGGCTTGCCGTGCAAAGCTGGGAAGAGGGCGTCTGTTTGCAGAGCAGAGCTGACATCAAAGTGGAGATTACTGCTCAGTGGCTAGGCACTTGTCCTCCAACAGGTAATGTTTAACGTGCCAGTCACAAAGATCACAGGAACGGCGTACGCCGGGGCATGAGGCAGCGCCACCGTTTGTGCTCCGAAAGTCTGAAAGGCTATACATGCCCGTGTATTTTTTTTTTTTTTAAATACATGTATTCATTGGTCTTGCTGTCTCCTTTTTTTGCTGGTTGTAATTGGACTTTGAAGCTGGGAAGTGATATCATAAAAATTTTGTAACCTTTGTCTGAGACAGAGCTTGGCTAAGCAATCACTTTCCACTTCTTTTCACAGGATAATATAAACGTTTTTTTGAAAGCTTGTGAACAGATTGGATTGAAAGAAGCCCAGCTTTTCCATCCTGGGGATCTACAGGATTTATCAAATCGAGTCACTGTCAAGTAAGTTTCACTGGCTTGTTTTGTATTTTTTAAGGTAGGGCTTGTAGTTTAAGGGAAAAGAATTCCTGAGAGTTCATGAGTACTAAAAAATCATTTCTCTCTCTGACCTCCTCTGTTCTCTTTCCAAAACAGACTACTTAAAAAAAAAAAAAAAAAAAAAAAAGCTTAGGGTCTGGGGCTGTGGAGCTGTCTGTAATCAATAGCATGTCATGGTCTTATTTTAAATCTCTCTGCTAACTGAAATGGCAGTCTATATTTCAGGGCTTGTCCAACATGGTAGTGTTGGTTGCTAATGGTGACGGCATTCGTTATATTTATAAAGCTAATTTAAGAGTTACGTAAGAACTTAAGAGTAAAAATAATTATTTGAAGCTAGTTTCGATGTGTTCGGAATTGAGATGTAATTGGCAAGGTGAAAACGAGAGTGGACAGCGATAAAGCGGAGGAGCTGGAGACCAACCAGTAAAGCTCCCGACCTCGTTCATTGTGGCTAGTGTTTAAAAAATGAGCTGCTTTTCGCTACTTTCATGGGGGAAATGAAAGTGATGGGCGGTGACAACGTGCCCAGGTACTAGTGTTGGGTTTTAGTTGGAAAATGGTGTTCATGTGTGACGATAAGGTTTTGGGAAATCTGGTCTGAGCCCCTGGGAGACTTCTTTCCCTATCAATCGGATTTGCTTTCAGTGAATTAGAACAAACTCATGTTGCCAGATAAATGTGACAGGAAAATGATTTAATTTTGTAATAATGACTACCGCTTTATACCATGGCTCTTAAACTTAATAAACACTTTTTCCAAGGAAGAAAATAGAATAAAGTGTTTATCTGTAGAAATGATAGAAATGAAAAAAAAAAAGAAATTAGTTTCTATGATTTCTAACAAAGATTTAGTTTATATGGTTAATATCCGTTGTAATAGCCTCAATAGTTATTAAAAAATTCACTGTAAAATCTTAAATGTGGACAATATTTTTTTTCTAAAGAAAAATAACCCTGTCTACACATATCTTTTATAATACACCTATAACCTAAAATCACAAGTAGGATTAATCTTTTCAAAGCCTAACAATACATATCCTTAAGTGAACAAGCCATTTTGAGCCTATATGCTTTTAGTTTATTGAATAAGCATTTTTACGCTACAGAGCAATGACATGTTCGTGGCAGGGATGCGTCTGTCTGCATTTATTCTGATTCATTGAAATAGTTTATTGATCCTAAGTTTCAGTGTCAGAATGGCATGTTTACTTCTGCGATATTCGAGGTCATGTTTAATTTCCTTGAAAAATAACCATGGAAAAACTTGTATTTTTCCTAATCGTCATTCTCTCCTAAGATCTACCTGATGGACAAAGAAGGTTTTGACTTGGAAAGTCTTCTTAAGTTGTCACTGTTGAGCGTCTTTTCCCCTTAAAATCATACTGTTTTGAAACCCGAGAGCCTATGTTTGAGTAGGCTGGGGACTAGGCAAAACATGTTTGTTGGCTCCTAGCTCCAAGGGTGGTGCCCTGAGCAAAGCTTGCCCTGGAGCCTGTTTTGTGGAGTTGTTGGGTCTAAAGTATTTAGGAAAAATTATATCTGGGCCCAGGTATCAGTGAAGTTACTGACAAACAAACCAGGGGTCACATAGTTGCAGCTGTAGTAGGAAGTATGCAGAACAACTTGTTTCAGTTGAAACCACAAGGCCATAAAGGAAGGTGTGCCTCAGGAGTACTGGCCAGCGCTCCCGAGTGAGAGCATTGCTCCATCCCTGCACCTGGTTGGACTGGAGGCGGGGGTCCACCCCAGGTCAGCTGCCGCAGAAGCAAGGGGTTAGGAGACACCAGGAAACTGGCAAATGGTTTATTTTAAAATGTTGGCCACAGCTCTTACGCCCTGAGATAGCCTTCTTACAAAAAGGGAGCAGGTTTAAAGGAAAGCAAATGATTGCTTACTCAACAGTAATGCATTTCTTTTGAGTTTTTGTTCTTATGTGACGTGGAGACTCCTGCTGGTCAAAGCCTGTCCTGTCCTGATTGTAGATGGAAGGGTTTGGTGTTGGTTACACTGATGGTTGTCAGCTTGGGGCAGCTTTGTCCCCCCTGGGAAATTTGACAAGGCCTGAAGATCCTTTTGGTCTGATGGAGCTGGGGTGGGGTGCTACTGGCATTTGGTGTGTGTCAGGCATGCTGTCGAATAGTCCTTAATGAACAGCCCAGTCCCCATATCAGAATTTTGCATCCCAAATATCAGTAGCTTAGAATTCTTTTTATTTTTTTTAAATTTAATTAATTTATTTTTGTTATGGATGTTTCTCCTTTTCTTCCAACTGACACCCTCCTCTCGTTTCACCTTCTCCCCTTCCAGGCATTGTTGTCTATGTCCACTGGTTATGCTTATATGCATAAGTTCTTTGGTGTATCTCTTCCCTGTCCCCTACCCCTTCCTCTGAAGTTTCTTCTTCTTCTTCTTTTTTTAATCCTCACCGAGGATGTTTTTCCATTTATTTTCAGACAGAATGGGAGGGAAAGATAGAGAGAAACATTGATGTGAGAGGGCCACATCAATTGGTTGCCTCCCGCCTGACCCCGACCAGGGCTGGGGACCAAACTACAACCAAGGTATGTGCCCTTGACCGCAATTGAACCCACGACTCTTGGTCCATGGGCTGATGCTCTAACTGCTGAGCCAAATGGCCAGGGCTAGACTTAGAATTCTTTACTTATTTATAGTCTGCCAGCAAGATAATCATGTAGCTAGGAAGGATGCTGACTGACAGACTTTTACATTTTGCTGAAATGTAGCTTTTTAAAACTAACATCTAATTATTTATATACGTTGGCGTTAGTATGTCTGTCCATCGAAAAGGGAAGGCCCACAATAATCTGCGTGAGGTAGTGCGAGTGCGTGGACATCATTTTGCTCATCTTATACGTGACCATTAGCAGAAACGTGGCCTGGTATTTGATGATTTCAAATGCTCTGTGAACACTGCACGTCGAAGACCACGCAACAGTCTGTAGGCCTGCGGCTGGTCTCGCGCAGGTGTCAGCTGACATGCATGTCCGCGTGACCTGCTGAGGGCAAACAGAAGAGGACAATTTATACCCTCCACGTGCGCAAATGCGGGGCGTTTTTGTTCATAGACAGGAGTGTTAAAAACATAGATGGCGTACGGAGCCCGGAGAGTGGTGCCCTGAGAAGGAGTGGAAGGAGCAGCCGATTAAAGAGGCTTTGCTGCTGAACCGTGTCGGCAATCCAGGCCCCCACTATAAATCCTTACTTCCCAGCAGTCTGAGGTTAATCATTTAATTCGCAATAATAATTTTTTCAACAGGACTAGAGTACTCTTTATATTTCTGTAATGATACATATTAACTTGTGCTCTAAATTTCTGTGAATATACCTGTTAATATGGGATCTAATTTTCTAACTGGATTATTCTACTTCTTGCAGGATGTAGTTTGGGTTTTTCCAAGTATGTTTCGATTGTTGCATTCATTTGGGGACTGCATGTATTCAAAAGGCAGTTGGTACTTGTACTTGTGACATTCCTGACGTTAATGAGTAGCGTCCATCTTGACTACTTTTCTTCCTAAAAGGCTAATACGTAAATTTGTGAGTTAATCTCCATAAATGGTAGATTGAAATTGAACTTTTCCTAGTGGTTTACTGAGATGCTTACATCCAGATGTTTACGGAGGCCATGAACTTGTCTTCTGTGCTAATGAATAACTGCATCGTTGCTATTATCCATGCTCCATACTCACACTGAACTCGGAAACAGACTCGGCCACAGCGAGGAGGTGTGACTGGCACAGAGCTCTGCACACTGTCTGTGGAAGGCTGTGGGAGAGCAGACACAGCGGCCACGTGGAGCCCAGCACGCGGGAGGGCTCCCACCGCCAATGTCATGGTCTCCGCGGTGCTGCTGCTCATTAAGAGGCACACAGCAATTGTTCCTTGTAGGAAGCAACTCAAGAGAGTAGCCCAGTGGTCCTGTATTAGAGGGAGGAATTTGGCAGAAAGGTAAGGTTGAACATTTTTTTTTTTTTTTTTTTTATCCTCACCCGAGGACATTTTTCCATTTTTTGTTCAGGTAGAGTGGGAGGGAGAGAGAGGAACAGAGAGAGAGAGAGAGAGAGAAACATCGATGTGAAAGGAACACATCGAGTGGCTGCCACCCGCACAACCAACCAGGGCCGGGGACAAACTGCAACTGAGGTACGCGCCCTTAACGGGAACCGAACCCAGGTCTCTCAGGACCGCAGGCCGACGCTCTAACCGCTGAACCAAACCGTCCAGGGCTGAACATTTAAAGATTTAGATTTTATAGGATCAGCAATTTGACTCAGAGACTAAGTCTTGTATTTAAACCATTGCCCTAACCAACTATAGACATTGACATTTCAAAGCTGAGAATTTGAACAGATTTTCAACATGTTTTTTTCTGGCTAGTTATCATTCCCATCCAATTTTTAGCACTTGCTTAGATACATAGTACAGTTACAGGATGGCGATGCTTTTGAACATAACAGTTCAGTCATGCAAAGAAAAGTTATTCTGTAGTACATACTTTTTCATTATTTAGGGTATTAATCTTAGGTTTAAAACGTAACTTTATATGTTGATATTGATGGAGTTTTTAAAAATGATCTATTTATCAAATGGAGGGCACAGAAATGAAAAATCTTTTTATTTTATTTTTTGTACACACGCTAGTTGCCAAAGAAATAGTAGTTGTAAACAAAATTAGTGTTGACGTAGTTCACTTGTAAAAATAAAGGAGGCTCAAATAGTATTTTAAAGACTTAACTGTTCTCTAAGCTTCAGAAAGGGAGCTTGATTTTGTGGCAATACTGTGAAGTTGTTTCTTAGGAACGTGTACCCAGATGGCACGCTTTTAGCAGTCTGCCAAAGTGGGCTTGAGATACGAATGTGTGTGTGTGTATCGATTAAGATTTTTATTCATTTAAGTAAAAATGTACCTACTGTGAATGATGTAATTTCTACCTTTTTCT